GGAGCAGCAGTGGGCTGCGCGGTGTGCTCTCCTCCTCCTCCCCAGGGCTTCCAGAGGCTTTCGGAAGTACAGAATTGATATGCACTGAAGACTGGTTCAGGAATGTCAGGTTCTCGAACGTACATAAATACATGTCGCCTTTAGGCTCTGACAGATGTGGTCCCAGCGTGGGCTGAAGCTCGGCTTGTCCAAGCACCACGGTTTGGTGCCTCGGGGGACACAGGAGCAAGGGTGGTCCTGACCCGCAGCTACCTTCTGTGGGGAGCTGTGCGAGGGTGGTGTGTAACCAGGTTGTAAATGGATGCGTGGACAGCACTGCCGAGTCGTGGGAATTTTACATGGTAGGGAAAGCTGTGGGCCAACCCAACTGAGTCATGTTGGATAGTAAGAGAAAGTCAGGGAGGATTTTTAGGTTATCCATGAGTCCTTCCTAAGCCTGTATGTTACAACTTCTGTAAAGCCTCTGCCACCCTGTTTTCAAACACCATGATCCTAACAACAGCCAAAAGCACAGTGACCTTCACCTACCCTAAGCAGAGAGAGAGTCTGGTACAGTATAGATTATAACACAGTGCACAACCCTGCAGCCTGCTCAGGGTCTGAGTGGGGTTTTTTTCTCTATCAATTTTTTACCCTTCTGAACACTAAACTTTGCCCTTAAACCTGACTCAATATTTATCTGATGGACCTCTGCTTGCTCCAAACCAAGATGTAACTAGTTACCTTAGCAGGCCTTCTGAAATAGGTTTACAGTCACCCCACTGCCAAATCCTAAATCTTATTTAATGACCTATATGCTCACTGAAGTAGAAATCTAGCCTCATGACCCACAGTGGCAGCAATGAGTCCTTTATTCAGACATCCCTTTCTGATTGTCTGCGTTAGCCCGACTCATCACTTTCTTCCAGCCCAGCTCTTAATCCTAAATGTAACCCTGATTTCATAGAATCTCCGAATTACAGAATGGTTTGGGTTGGAAGGGACCTTTAAAGATCACCTAGTCCAACCCCCCAGGCACAGGCGAGGACATCTTTCACTAGATGAGGTTGCTCAAAGCCCTGTCCAACCCAAGCTGGGCATCCACAACTTCTAATATACTGAGGAGGAGTGAGGGGTGGACTTAACAGAATGCCTACATGAATTAGGACCTTAGAGTAGGAGCTTTGTCTAGGGACTACAGAGGTAAGGCTTATAGGAACTTAAAACTGGAAGGAACCACCTTACCCATGGAGTTCCCTGAAATCATGGGAAACCATTCAGCAGATACTGAACTTAGGAAATGCCTGCACTTCACACACACTGTCTGTGGGGGCCTGCAAAAGCATAGCAGGTACTGCTTCCTAGTACTCTATAACAAACTTCAGATATATTGTAGAAGACCAAAAGCCAAGTGATATGTCACAAGAAGGGAGGAGAGATCAAGAGCATCAGTGATGTCTTAGACATGTGCAAACAAGATAATTATATCTCCTAGATGATATTAAGAAGCAGACGTGTCCTACAGTGTAGAAGAGGGTGAAAAGTCCAACAGTAGCAGCTAATGAGACTTGGAACAATCCTGAACCCAGATCTGGTAAATTAGGAGGCTTAGATTCCGTCTTAGCTCTGAGACAGCTTGCTGTATGATCTTGTGGCAAATTATCTTGTCTCATGCTGCTGCAACTGATTCCTTGTAAAATGTTCATAACACTGAACTTCTGGCAGTGTTATGAATCCCAGTTGATATAAAGTAGTGTTAAGTACATTCAACAAATGCCCGTTCTGTTCAAGAGTTTGTTACAACAAACGAAAATTAACCTGGAGTTTCAAAATGAAGATCATGAGTGTGGCTGGAAGCCTAAGTCAAAATACATTCTGCTATACGTCGGGTAATTTGAGTAAGCAGCTGTAAAAGTAACCTTTTTTTTTTTTGTCTCTGAAAAGTAATTTTTTCCGTACATATTATGATTAGACCAGTAATTCCTGTTTTTTTTTTCTACTCATGACTGCCTTTACTTTACACCCTTCCAACAAAACCTGTTGTTAAATTCTGCAGCATTACTTGTCTTATCTTAGTCTCAGCTCATTGACTGTTGGGTTAGAATTGACTGACAGATGTCACTGGGAAGTTCCAGAAAACTGTATTGACCAAAACGTAACATATGCAGACCTGAGCAAGGTTTTGGGGCACAGCTAGGAATGGAAGAAAGCATCAGTTAGACATCTGACATGGAATGAAGACAATTGTTGCCAGAATCTCTGCAGAAAGGTTTTGGGGGATAATTACTGCTCTGTTAGTCCTGATTTCGTTAATTAAGAAGTTTGCAGGGACTCCTACTGCCACCTGCAGATTGTAGTAGGCAGCTGCTGTTAGAATTTTTTTTCTACAAAAGCCTGAGTCTCCCGTTGGGCTGCACCGTACCAGGCTGAATGAAAGGGAGAAGTCTGCAGGAGGCAATTAAAAAAGCATAGACAAAGCAGGGCTGCTGGTCACAGATCACAGCACCCGTTCCTGGGCTTTGACAGAGGTTCTCCTCTGGATAGGTGTCTCGTGATGAGAGAGAGAACGGCCCCTGCTCGATTAATGGAAATATCTTTGCTCTGCTGGCTCTGGCTCGTACATAGAATCATAGAATCATAGAATGTTTTGGGTTGGAAGGGACACAGACACAGAATCACACAGAATTGTAAGGGTTGGAAGGGACCTCGGGAGATAATCTAGTCCAACCCCCCTGCAGAGAGCAGGGACATCCGTAACCAGATCAGGGTTCACAGAGCCCCGTCCAACCCAGCCTTGAATGTTTCCAGGCATGGGGCCTCCACCACCTCTCTGGACAACCCGGTCCAGTGTTTCACCACCCTCAGTGTAAAGAATTTCTTCCTTATATCCAGTCTAAATCTACCCTGCTTCAGTTTAAAACCATTACATCTTGTCCTGACACAGCTGGCCCTGCTAAAAAGATTTTCCCC